TCCGTGATCCGGTCCGTGATCCGGTCCGTGATACGATCCGTGATCCGGTCCGTGATCTGGTCCGTGATCCGGTCCGTGATCCGGTCCGTGATCTGGTCCGTGATCCGGTCTGTGATCCGGTCCGTGATCCGATCCGTGATCCGGTCCGATCCAGATTTTGTCGCGGCCGCGATACAATGCAATTACTTACAAACTGATAAATTTAATCGTTACTTACAAATGGATAGTAGCAATATTTGTATTTGCACGGCTAGCCTCCAATAGTTAATTGTTTAACTGAGTTGGACCATTTTTTAGTAAAAGAAAGTAGTTTATTTGTTGTAATCGCAATGTATTTTTTGTTGGTCACCTGCGCATTACAAAAGTGAGCTATAAAACGATTAAAAACTAAAAAGTGTAATAATGTAAAATGAGCTAAAACCTACAATAAAAACTACATAGATAAAGATGTTGATGAAACAAATGATGTTTGGCCAATAAGGAATTTTTATCCATTGTTGCGATCGCTTCTGCGTGTTTTTTGACGCCTGTTTTTAGTGCACATGATGTCTGTCTAATGTAAACACTAAGGCTATCTAGGTACTAAACATTGTATTCCAACGCATTTAAATACAGAACTTGACGTTTCGTAAACTAGCCAACATTCACCTTTAAAAGAGACCCTTTCAAAGTTTTTGAAAATCCCAGACAGACATGGCAAAGGCCTGGGAACGAGTTTGATTCATAATCAAGCTACGATGGCCTAAGAACAAGAGTTTACGCAGGCCCTATTTTTGATCTTTAAAAAAAATCTTGCGTAAGGACCACAAGCTATTGCCCACCAAAAAAATCATGCACAATCTAAAGGTTGAGAGAAAAAATTGCCCAACCAACACCCAACGCCCAACGCCCATCGCCGCCCATTCGCAAGGCCTTGTGGTATATCTTACGTCATACGGATAGAAGCACATGCAAGGCGCCGGCAATCGGACATATTTGTTCCACTTTTGACTTACAACTTCTACTTTTTACATTCTTTTGGGATCATCTCTTAGGATAAATTCTGATGGAAATTAAGGAGTACAGAATACCTTTGCCGCTTACTGTCGATGAATATCAAATAGGTCAGCTGTACGCTGTTGCAGAAGCAAGCAAAAATGAAACTGGAGGAGGAGAAGGAATCGAAGTGGTTGAAAACGAACCATACACGGGCCATGAGAAGTACCCCGATGGACAGTACACTCACAAAATTTTCCATTTAGCTTCCAAGGTACCAGCGTTTGTTCGTTTATTGGCGCCAACTGGCTCCTTGGAAGTTCACGAGAAGGCGTGGAACGCTTATCCGTATTGTAGGACGGAGTATTCAAACCCATACATGAAGGACAACTTCTATATCTTAATTGATACTTGGCACAAAGAAGGTGAAGGCTTGGAAAATGTGCACAATTTAAACGGCGCGGAACTAGAGAAGAGAGAAGTTGTTGATATAGACATAGCCGATACTTCTGCTGTTTCCACTAGCGACTACAAAGAGGATGAAGACCCAACCAAGTTCCACTCGGAGAAAGCAGATCGGGGTCCTCTCGTTAAAGGTAAATGGAAGAATCAAGATTATCCCAGAATGACGTGCTACAAGTTATACAGAGTGTACTTTAAATGGTGGGGACTACAGACGAAAGTGCAGAACGTCATCTTCCGTGCTGTGAAGCGACTGCTAACCAACTTTCACCGCCAGTTGTTTTGTTGGTTGGACAAGTGGTATGGCATGACTATGCAAGATATACGAGAGCTTGAAGATAAGACCAAAGAAGATCTGGAACAATTGCGAAAACAAGAGCAAGTACGTGGAATGAAAGAGAAATAAACACAGCACAGGGTAACTTGTAAAATTAAAAAAACAAATTAGCGTAACAGTAGATTGCACTTTGAAACACGTTTGTTGCTGTTGAATCTCGAAAATTGAAGAACAGTGTTTTTTTTCTGTATTTGGACAAAGCTTAGTTGTTTAAAATGGTTGTTAGGACTGCCCAAGTGTTGGGCCCATATTACATTCAGTTGTTCTCTATTTATCTGACATGAGTTTTGTTATGTAGTACTACTTTGTCAATCAGTATATACTGCTATTAATTAAACACTTGGTAATTATCATCTGTGAGTTGATAAAGCACAATTCACCACCGTGGCAAACATGGAAAGCTGATGTTTGCAGCCTCTCATAGTTGATAATTAACTAATGATTATTGTTTCACCTGCCTGCCAATGCAGTGCAACACTATCTTCAGAAAGTTATAGCCATTCTGTTATAACATTACCTCCCCGTGGAGTATTTTGTTTGTTTCTTAGTACAAACTCTTTTTACTCCTTCTCTATCACCCAAATTTCTTCTGTATGGTAAATATACATAGTTCATACATACTGTAGGTTTCAAATTATTTGCTCATTATGGACTTCCTAGCATAGGCGTACGGGCAATTTTTTTCCAGGGGGGGGGGGGGAGCAGTGAATCACCCTCCCAAAAAATTTTCATTCACAATGCACAGAATGATCCGTGCTCTGCAAAACATGATTCATTCATTGATTCATTTCACTACAAGAATATTCACCACATTGGAAAACTCTGGCGATATATCAAGATGTCAAGCAGTTCATTCTCATGCATTGTCTGCAGTATTGAAACAGTTGTGAGTGGAACCCATACTCACGATGGAAACTCGCGTACATTTTCTTCTGGGCTTCCAGAATCTCGCCATCAATGTCGTGAAATTTAGCGATGCAGTAGACGCTTTCTTTATCAGGCGCCCCCTTTGACATGTATCACCCAAAGCACAGAGTATTTCCTGGTCATTTCCACTGAACCGGACCTCAAGCTCTGACAGCACCTTGTAGAGGGAGGCATAGTGTTAATGCTTAAAAAGTGGGCATTGAGAATGAAAAAAATTCTGGATTCTTACTAAAATGACAATGTGAGAAACGAAAAAAAAGGGGTGTTAAGAAAATGCCAACTTGCATTACTTCTGAGTATTGAATTGGGCAAGTCAGTATTGGAAATACTGACTTGCCCAATTTTTTTGGGGGGGGGGAGGGAGGGGGCTGCTCCCCCCAGCCCATACGTCTATGCTTCCTAGCAGAGTTTGTTCTCAATGTAGTTGATTAGGTACTATGTTATGGCAATTTTGTTGAGCCTTCTAGTTTTTGTAGGCAAAGTTTGTTAATGAACTTACCAGGGAAATATAGTTTTCAGTGTGCAAAGAAAGCTGTGTCAGATAGCCAGGGGTTAGTGGACTACAGATGTGTTAGTGGATGCTGTCCTTGGACTCTGTCTTAGGAAAGTTTTTGAGGAAGTCTTTCTCTACTTAAAGACTCTCTGTTGACCAGAATGCTTTGCGAGCATTTATTTTTGTTTTGATTCTTTCGCTAAAGAAAGTGTTAGAAAAATCAGAAGAATTTGGGGGCATTTGGCAGCCTAAAATATAATTTACTGGTAGAAACTGATATGAGATGTTTGTTTTCGTCGCAATTTGGTTTAGAACTACTGTATTTTGAAATTCTGATGTTGTGTCGTGAGGTGACATTAGGTCATACTGGTATTCTTGGTATTGGACTGAAACTAGCTTGCAACGGAGGCTCATGCGAGGGAATATCATTAAAAAGAGATTAATGTCATTTACATTTGTAAAGATTCTCCGCATTAGCCTCAGTTGCAAGCTAGTTCCAGTTGTATATCGAGAATACGAATATCGTCTATTGTCAGCTATGGTTCTTGCCGCCATAAGTATCCTGCAGAGACTTGAAACAGTTCAGAAGCACACATTCAGAATGTGCAGTACTTACTATGCTTAGCATGTAGAATAAGAGTAAACAATTATTATTTTTTTCTGTTGATGAATTCATACTGCGTTTCAGAATCCCTACAGAGTTATTATTGATAACTGGTCACTCGCGTATGGATACTAAAATGTTTTCAATTCGCTCTGGTTAGTTTTCTTTACCAGGAATTGAACGCAGCAGAGAAAGCACTTTTCACTTTTCATTGAAGCAAATTTCAAGAGATCTTGCCAAAGTTAACCTCAAACTGGATTAATTGACAAGCGATGTGATAGTCTTTGCAGAAGGCTAGCATTGCAAAGGAAAATTCAATTTACTGTCACTTTCTGCAGCAAACAGGGGTATTTTTTCTTGTATCTGAGTACATCTTAACTGTTTCTCCACCAATCCTAGTCAGATTTTCTCAGATAATTTTCTTGACGAACGTCTCTGGTCCACACCTGCCAAGGTTCTTTGTAGTCTCCATGACTGAAATCACATTGTACCGGCTGTTCTCTGGCTACTCAAATATGTGAAAAAACTAACAATTTGCAATCATATATTCCCCTCAATGTTAAGGGCAATAATGAATCTTGTCTTTAAAGGCCATAAATGTAGAACAATCCGGATGGATGCCTCGGATTGAAGAGCGAAACGATCAATAGCAACAATTGGAGGTTTCGGGGACCATGAAACCTCTGATGACATGTGCAGTGCATGCTGGTCCAAAGAGAGTCTTTAACTTTATTCTTTGTATTATTGTGTATCGTTAAGTTTGGCTATTTGTTTGTGTGAATAAAATTGTTGTTTGGGTTGGGGTCTGTCACTTTCCAGTTTTCTTTGCACCCTGGGTTTTGCTTTATGTTAGCTTAAGTATACAACTTTATTTTACAGCAACTAATATGTACATGTATGTCATGGCCTAAACAGGCCATTTTCTCTCTTGCATTTGAACTCTCTATTTTAGATTGCCTTTAGCACCTATGTTTTTGTATAGCCCATCTCAGTAAAAACAATAGTAGCAAGATAATTATTTAAATCGAATAATAAGACAGTGCAGCTTATAGAACTTCAAGGTCATTTATTTGTGAATTTAAAAGCGTTGATGTGTCAAATCTTTGTATACCAACCAATTGTAAATGTGTAGTCAATAATTTTGATAGCTACATGTAGTAATTTCATTGTCCGTAAATTTTTGTTGATTTTTTTGAAGATCTAGGAGAGACCATGTAGGAAGAATTTTTATGATTGCAACAGATTTACTCAAAACACATTATATTGTGAGGAAATAAAATTGAATGTTGAAACTTGGAAGTGGATCAATAATCAAAGAGATTCAGAACTGGTTGAGTTGTGGACAAAATGAAATTGAAGTTTTTCTGCCAAACGCATAATGGTCTGTTTTGTGTAGACCCGTGGTGTAATCTGTTATTTATTGACACATGTGAATGTTGCTTCCTGCACCCTATATACAGACTGAAAATAGGAATAATGAAATCATTTTGTGGAAATAAGATTTTATGGGTTGTACATTATTATTGTTTAGCCCTATTCTCCCAGAGGAGAAAAGGAATTAAGTCAAGTAAGTCACATTTATTATTGTTGGGTAATCTGGTAGATTAATTCGTAAAGTAGGATAATGTATTAGTATGAAATCAGTCATTTTTTAAAAATAGCTGACTGTGTTATTCTATTTTTCACTCTGAGGAATTTATGGTACTTAATTTTATGAAGAACGTAATAACCTATGACTTGGTAAATCATAAAATATTTCCATCAAACAAATTATCATGTTTTTGAATAAAACCATCAGGGCATGTGGTTGTATGGTATTAATATTTCAGAGCCTTAAGAGTCTGTTTCTAGGTCTTAATAAAGCCAGATGGGAAAAATTTGTATTTGGAAATTGCTACATGGATAATAAGGACCTGCTGAAGTTAACAGCATCAAAACAGTATTATCAGAGGTTTTTAATTTAAAGAAACCGTTGGGCTGTGTTGTTGGCCAAGTGAAACACTGCTATTTATCAACTTACCACCTTCACCTGTGGTGTGAAGGTGGGATTTCAAGCTTTGGCCCCTCATTATGTTGAGTTAACTTTTCTTGATAGGCCTTCTGGTTTGGCTTCCAAGGTTATCAATTTGGTGTTTATATTTTTGCTTTGAGTAGAATTGATGATTTGCCATGTACAATAATTTATTAACTTCTGGTGTAGGACCACAGCTAAGCGGTTGGGCTATTCAATTTTTGTGGTTTTATTGGTGGTTTGAAAATGTTCCAAACCTGTTGTTAGTGGTGTTTGTCATGATACAGGTACAACTCAAATGCTGAACAATTGAGCTTGTGTTAAACCATAGCTGTCTAAACAAAGTCACTTATTGGCTCACTAAACAATATTCATTTATAATATTTAAAAAGGGTTTCAAAGACCAATGAATGTAGAGTTCTGCAACAGGTGCAGCTGGTGTATAATGTAGGATTCTCTTGTTGAAATCTGAAGGAATTTCTGTGTAAAGCAACCATTTTACCAGTTACAATTTGAGGAAATGCCACCCATCAACCGAAGCAACAACTTATTGAATGTAAAAATATTTATGCTGGGCAGAAATCAAGTGAATATGCAAATTATTGATGCAAGGATCAGATTTCAAACATGCCTCTTAAGGTGGCTCCCTATAGTTTTACAATCGCATGTGTGCTGAAAAAATTAGTAACTTGTGTGTGCTTGGAGGAAAACAGTGTTTTTCAATATTAAATTTATGACATCAACATGAGCACAAGAAGCAAAACTGACAGTGAATTATCTCGTGTTTCTTTCGGTGAAAATCTGTAAACTTTGGCAGACTAGTAGTAAATATTTTACTTTAGCCAGAACTTGTTTTTCAGGGAAATCTATATGACCAGTTTTTTTTTGCAGTGGTAAAAGACAAATTTGCAAAAATTGGGAAAACTGCCTGTACAAACCCTACTTTTTTTTGTTTAAAATTGATATCCTGCAGGATGCAATGTGCTGTGAAAATTTTGGAAGATTTCACCAAGGGAAATTCAAGAAAATCATAAATAAAGCCATAAAAAAGTAAAAAACACATTTGTCTGGACATTTATAATTCATGACTAAAACCCAAAATTTTAACAGGGATGATAGTAAAACACAATTTAATCATTACTCATTACATGTTACAAAGTTTGAGGAGTGGGTGTAAAAACGAATGCAAAAACAGCATTCAAAACATAACACTTGTGCACACAATGCCATAAATGATTACCCTATGGAGCCGACTCCATAGAAAAAGTTCATGTCACCAGGTCTGGATTAATTGTGGGAAAATAAGCCTTTATTGGAATGAACATTAACATTTGGAGATGAGTGATGTGGCAAGATGAAGATATACCTTGAATGGAAATCAAAAGATTATGTCATTACCGTAGAGGGAATGCTGGCAATAAATATGCCAAGCTTGATTGCCCCTATGACTTGCACAACTGTGTTTCAAATATGGCTGATATTGTGTAGTTTAGACAAAAGAGCAGTTAAAGTTTCAGTGCCCATGTTTAAACTGTTGTTATTGCACACTTCTGGGGTATACCATAGTCATCATAAGGACTGGTCTTCTGAAATTACCGGTAAAAGAAAAGTGTTAAGAAAACTGGAATCTGCAGCTGAGGGGTTTTGGGAGCAGAACTTAAATCAAAAACCTCCCAAACAACAGCAAGTACTTCTGATCAAAATACACCTTTGAAATCTTAAATGTAATAGCAACTGGAGACTGTCAAATATAGAAGGTGTTAGTGGCTGGTGGGGCATCAGGCTAACACCTATCTCCATATTCCATAACATGAAGCTACTTGGAGTATTTGGGATGCCAATCCCAGCATTTAATTTACACTGTTGGGAGCATACATACTATGACAGTGTCATGCCCAATAACCTTGCTAGGGCTTGGAGTGGCAGGGACTGAGGCACTGTGACCTTTCAGTGTCTTGTTCAATAACAAAACATAGTTACCGAGTTCTGTGCACTAAGCTTTAGCCAGACAGCATGCCTCCCTTCGTATGGAATGGAGGTACTAAAAGCAAGAGAAAACATGTGCCCCTTGATTGTTTCAATGGAAAACATGAGAAAACCGTACCAACAGCAAACTGAAAGAAATTTGTAGCCAATGCCCTCCAAAAGGTGGACATGGCTATCTCCCAAGTTGCAGTTGAAATTCACTTGTTTTTCTGTAACTGAACTCTGTAGGGCAGACACCTGTCTAAAGCAAACATCTAGAGCCACTCCTGAGTGTATCCAAGTTACAGAGAGTTCACTGTAAGCCCTTTTGTTGGACCAACTGTACCCCTTTCCCTTAACTGATCAGCCAACAACACACTAAAAGCATGATTAAAGGGCTGCCGGTCAATTTAATAATTAAGATGGATTCCACTCATAGTTTGAGCAATAAGTGCAAAAATTCGTTACTAACAATCTTCTCAGAGCATGGTAACTTTTGGAATACTACTTAAGACAACTCACTTTCCTTCATTTCTCTAAGTGACTCTGTGATTAAATTCTCATGCATTCTCGAGAAAGTTACATACATACATACATACATTCTATTTAATCTTGGACCTTGTAAAAATGCTTAAAGCTTTTGTTATTGTGTTTTTAACTAACACGAAACGTCTGTTTTCATTGAAATATGGATAACTTCAAGTTCAATTTTCCCTCGTGGGGTCAACTTGAGAGCTAAAGTCTCGATAAGTTCTTCTTAACTGTATTCAAAATATTACCATGCCATGAGGTTTTTTTGGTAACTTAATTTTTGTCAAATGTTATCACTCAAATGTTCTGTGGAAGTCATCTTAAAACCATTAATTTTGCTCCCAGAAAGGCCGACAGTAGTAAAATATCAGTACTTGAAACAAATATCAGTATTTGACTTTTATTACAACTGCTCCATTTTGAAGCCTACAGTCTGAAAGTGAGGGCATATCTTGTCATCAAGTTGTCAATATTTATTTTAAGAAGATTCCACACATCACTATTAACACTTCTGCTCTTGCAGCTGGGTCCTTAACATCACTTGTCCTTTTTCTCAGATGCAATTCCATTGTGAAGTTCACGGACATCTCTTTCAAGGATGTCAAATAACAGTGTACCATCTTCATCAAACCATGAAGCCACAGACCTAAAACACGACACAATGACAACAGTCAATCAAAAATGTCTGAGTGAGGACTTGTCAATTATACTGAGCAGGTATTATTTCCACCTTTACTGTGTCGGGAATTCATCCAAGAAAAACTAAACAGTCAGTCTTGTACTATGAAAGCATGGGAGGGGGCCATTGCCTTTTGTTAAGTGAGCTGGACTCTGGTTTGAGCAGTCCTAGTTTGAGCCCTGGCCGTGGACATTGTCTTGTGTTGTTGGAAGCACACTTTACTCTCAGAGAGCCTCCTCCACCCAGGAGTATGAATGGGTATCAGTGGATTGGCAGGGCAACCTGACAGAATGCTAGCAAGTGACATTTGATGGACTAGCATCCCATCCACTGGGGAGAGGCAGAACCTCTAGCTGACTTCATGCTGCAGAAGCTGGAGGTAAGCACAGAGAACTTAGCCAGTGGTTCATCAGAGGTTCTACTAGGCTGAGGGTGAAATTACCTAGTCTGAAGCAAATATCATCTCAGTCTAATGATTTTTACATGTAAGTGATCTGTTCACAGTTCCCACATTTCACGGGCTTTCAATCAAGGGTTGAGAACATACTTTTTCATACTCTGCTCTCTTTCCTTCTTAGTGACACCATCTTTATAAATGATTGTCAAGGTGTAATATTGATCATAGCGCTTCAGTGTAGAATGCAAACTCCAGTAATTGTTGGGACCCTGTGAAAATATTTAATAAACTAGTTTTAGAAGTCAGAGTTCTTAATGAGTGTAAGATTGTAAATAAAGGGCAATACTTGTCATTTGGTACATTTTGAGCATTGATGATGTTCAGACTTTCACTCCTCCTTACTATGCACATATTTACATATATCAAGCCATTGCAAATGTGGTCATTAATAATATTGATTTTGCTTTCATTAAGGACTGTTACCAGTTGAATCAATTTGCTTAATAAATCCACTTGTACAATACTTTGCAAAGAAATTGCATTTTAGAGATTTCTTTGCAATATTTTTACACTAAAAGACAATGAGGCCATATAATCAGAATGAATATGGCAGACCATCATTGTTATTTTTTAACATTTCTGACATGCAAGACTCATAATCTAAGGGTGATGAATGTTCAGGAAAAAGCTGCCCATGTTGGAAGATTTTCACACAAATGTCCACTACACTGATTGCTCAAATTCCACTAAAATAGAAGACTGTACAGCTCCCATAATTTACACATGATCTTTTCTGATAAGTCCAGTATGTAGTTTGCATTTCTTCATTAGTACAGTAAGAAAGTCAAAATTAACTTGCCAGGACTGATGTCTTCATTGTAATGCTTACACACAAGCGACACAATTTAATATGATATACATGCGTTGAAAAACTGAACAAAGGTACTGACTAGAAACTCACCACTCCTGCTTCATCCTTCTGCACAGCAAACATGATGTAATTTTTCTCAACAAAGGTTGTAAAGATTGTCAAGACAGTCATTAAAGCAAAGTATCTTTTCTATTGTCAAGAAAATCATTTTTCAACAACAGTGCTTGCTAAGATAAAGTTGTCAATCAAATGGTGACGTTAAGATCTACAACAGAATCATCCAAAAATTCAAAGGCATTAACTAACAGGAAGAAAGGAACACAGGCCTTCAAAGAGAAAATAGGGACTTCTGGAAAGACTATTCTTGTACTGTGAAAAGGCATTAAGCTCTAGTTCAGTAAGGTTAGAACACATCTGCAAGTAAATTTACCAGTTGTGCTAAAAGTGCCAGTCACAGTACAGCTGTACATCAAGACAAATTTGTGATCACCACTCCTGAGTAAAGGGACCAGGTAACCTGCTTTTGGGTAAGACATGTTCAATAATTTATTTTTTACAAATAGACATAACAATAACTGAATAAGGTGGAAATTGTAATTGGCAAGTTAGACAACTTCTCTCCAGAAAAAAAAAACACAAAGTAAAATTGCAATGTTGGATTAATTTGGATTATGAAAAAAACAGTATTATTTTGAAACAGAGGTATGTGAAGACAAGGACGTTTTGCTGACATGCCTAAGAGAAAATAATTTTTAGGAACCTGAAGAATGACTTTGCTGTAGTTTGTATATATGGTATATATTTAATAAAAGTTACTGATACTGTTTCGTGTGGGGTAACACTCACAACTGTCCTTTACTAATAACAGGACTTCTATTTCAATAACCCTTTGCAAATAAACAGACACTAAATTTATTGTATATCCAGTCTGATAATCAGTCAATCATGCTCAGCACTTTCATGTTGATATCAGACGGTACTTAGATGTGATAATAAATCATACTTGTTAAATACATGATATAATTTTAAGTGGATACGACAGTACACATGTGATAAGGACAGGCCGTGAAACTGGAAAAGGGTAAAGGTAATCATATATCAAGGCAGCGAGGGCAAAGCAGCAAGATAAAGTACAGATAGCCAAGCGAATATCAGTAACTTTGAAGTCTTCCACATAGCCAAAGCCCTCACTCAGTACCTGCAACACAAATTACAATCAAAACAGTGCACTAACAAGACCAAGAATCCCTGCTATCTATTGTACTTTACACCATACCATACAAAATACAGCCAGTAAGAATAAAGGGAAGCCACACTATACTCAACAGAACTTCAGGTCCTAAATCTTAACTGGGAGCAAGCCACATGGCTTGCCAAGGACTGACAGAGATGGAGCAGTCTTGTTGATGCCCTATGTGTCAGTTGGCATGTTAAGGATACATGATCACACAACAATATATAACCACAATATATAACACTCAACCTTGACATTGTGTGCTGCATTGATTGTGTTGGCCACTGTCTTTTCTATGGTATAGTATAAAACAGTTATGCAACACTTTTTCTGCAGCATACCATGGAATATCCCACTCACCACTTGTATGGCAAGGGACATTGTGGGGGGGGGGTCTGAACACTGCAAAAAAATTTGGCGATACTGCAACATCGCAAAAAAGATCGCCAACTACTGCAATACTTCAATACCGAGTTGGAAAGTCAATGTCAAACCGAAACTACTACTCTGTATGTTAAGTTTAGAGCTAATTAATGAATGGTGTTTTTGATTTAGGCAAAATACCGGCAATCAAAATTAAGTAATATCCATTGACATGTTTGCCAATTATTAACAAAAATAACTTAGCCATTTTCGATTGCAACACAAGGATTGCAGTTTTCTGTTACTGTGCATGAGCTCAGTTTCATTGAACATGTCCAATCGGAAACTGGAAAAGGCTTGGAAAAAGGTTGGAGAACTTGGAGGATAATTTCTAATTAAATACCATTAAAAATGCAAAAAAAGCATCCCACAGGTTCGGAGAATACCACAATACTGCATTTCGAGAGTTAAATTACCAAAATGTCACAAGGAAAATAATGCCCAATACTGCAATACCACCCAAAACCCCAATGTCCCCCTCTGTATATTATTGGTATTTAGAAAACAGTCCTAAGAAAATAGGTGCGCTGATTGGTTGAATGTCGTGTTTCTATAACTTGATAGAAACACCAAACTAGCATGAGCTGTTGACCTAATGATGGCGTGAGCAAAGAGAATTTACATCTTGATAATCAAAGTTAACAAGTTGTTCTCCTTTTTTTCGTCCTGGTGTTTTCTAAAAGAAACAGAGAACATGTTCTCTGTGTTTCTATCAAGTTATAGAAACAGTCGTGAAAGTTTGGGAGAACTCGAAAAAGCTGTGGAAACACTTGCCTGCAGCTCGTGTTCCCACAGCATTTCTCATTCTCCCAAACTTCCACTCATGTCTCTATAACTTGAGAGAAACACGGTACATGTTTTCTATTTCTTAAATACACTTGTCTAATAGCTTGTGCATATACCAAGAACATACAAGTGACTAGTGGGATATTCAATGATATACCACTCAAAAACATTGCATAAATAGTGTACACAGGATGCATATGTACATTATCCAGATGCCTCTACAGATTTTTGAATGCAATAGTTCATTCATTTGCCAAATAAACAGACAGATAATCTGATATTTTTCAATCCATGTAATGGATTACAACATACCTACATCTATTAAATTTGATATATAACAGGCCAGGAATATTCCAGAAATTAAGATTTTAGGAAAAACAAAAGGCAACAGTATAGATTGAAAAAAAAGGAGTATACAGCAAAGGCAAACTGGTTTTCTAATAAAAGGGACCTTTAGAAAAAAGAACATTTTACTGACCACAAAATTAAGATTTTCACTGGGTGAGCTGAAGCCCAGTAAAGACGATTTTCCCTATGACAGCCAGCCGAAACATTCCAAAACGAACACAAGAATGACTGCTACATACAATTTTGCACTGGGAATAAACAGTCACCTTCTTCGCTGCATCATCAAGGGCATTTTTTACCGCATTGCAGTCCCACTTGTCTATCTTGACTGGCTGATCAGAACCGATGGCCCACTGAGTTCAATGAGAAGAAAAAACACCAAAAAACAACATGATAGTCTTTCAGAATAAAAAATAATCATTAAACCCAGCATGAATATATATTTTGGAGTTAAAACCTTATCCAAAAGTCCAGCTTTTCCACTCTTTTTCTTTAACCCGCTAGACGCCATGATGTTTCTTTTGTACAGTCGACCGTACAGTCATCAATAACTTGGCCGTGGAAAGCTGGGCCTGATAGGTCAGCGGAGACCCTTTTAAGTCTTACATTTACAGACCGACCAGGAGAATAGGCTGACAATATTGAGGGAAAACGAAACGTTTTAAAAGACTAATAAGGATACTATAGCATATCAAAATGGTGAAAAAGAAAGGACAAAAGAGCGCACAGAGTAAGAAAAAACTTGATCTTGCGGCTGCAGTGGAGGCGGCTGAACAGGGAGAAGAAGAAAGCGATCTATCAAAGTTAAACTTAGACTCAGATGATTTTCACACTGCCTCGGCGGCTAAAAAAGAAAATGGCGACATGAATGATAACGAAAGTGGTACAGGAAATAATGATGATGATGATGAAGAAGAGGCTGTAGTTATGAATTATAACCCGCCTGAAGAGGGCCCTGTGACAGAGCAAACAGGTAGAAATTAATAGTCATCACTGTACAGGTGACTACAAGAAATTACCGGCTTTTCTGTTTTGCGGTGCAATCCGCGACTTAACACCACAGTTCACATGTGTCAGAGTAACATGATTTTCAATTTAAATATTAACCTTCGGGTGAAAGTGAAGTACAGTTCCTCACCACCCCCCCCCCCAAAAAGGCTTTGGTTGACTGTAAACTGTCTGTCGACTGACAGACAACTAACAGCATGCCAACAGTTGACTAACAGGTGGCCAAAAAGTTTGCTCAGTTTGCTGACTTGTAGGTGGTGATCTGTTTGTCACTTGTTGGTAAGTCGTTACCAACTATGCGAGCTGGGTGGTGGATAGCACAAACTATCCCAAGTTCGAGTAGCCAATCAGAATGGATGAAGAACACAATCCACTTGTTTTTTTCATCCATTCTGATTGGCTCATTGGTGTGGTATATACTAAATAGATTTATTTGGACCATTAAAGGTTTCTGGAGGGGAAGTTCATTAACTTGTGTGAGAAAAATTCCTTCTTAAACTACATTGTTAGTGTTTTAAACAATATCGTTATTGTGATATATCATATAACATTAAAAATCATTCTTACAAACCTTGTCCAATGTTTTTCCTAAAACAGAGGATACAGTGGATATGCAGAAGCTTAGCAAAAAAGAGAAAAGGAAACTGAAAAAGAAGGTACTACTGCCTTCTACATACAAATTGTTTGTTGTTATAGAATGATGTTATTCGATCAGTTATTCACTGTGACATTTTAACTATTGTAGTTTGGCTTTACAACTATGATACAGCATGTGGTATGTAAAGCATGTTTTGTCATCTTAATGGTAATCCAGGTCTTTCAGGGTGTTGTTATGATTCTCAGAGTTTTCTTTACTTTCTTCTTTCTGTGTATATTCTGTATCACAACTTTCTTTGTAAGTCATTTTTTCTTAGTAATAGTAGATTTTGATCAATGTCACCATGGCTTTTTCCTTCCCTTTTAAAAGGAAAAATTTGAAAACGAAACACAAGAAGTGGCTGGGTCTCAATTTTCTGTATCACAACAAGAATCCTCTACAAAAACTGCTGTTCTGGAAAATGCATTAGATATTAAGGTAATAATAAAAGTAACTGATTGATGTCTAGCAAGATATGCCTAGAGCAAATATGATCCCCTTCCTGCCTGGATCTTCAGGGTCCTTGTTCCCTCCCCCATACCCTCCTGCAAGAATTTTCAGCATGCCTCCTTTTGGGGAGAAGTGTGGATTTTTTCTAGAATTATAGTCCAATGTATCTTATTCTTTAAAAAGAGTTGCAAATTATTATAAAATTCTATTTTTATACGTCATAGTATTGAATTTGCTTTGGTTGTTTGATTATTATAGGTAGAGAAGTTCAGTATCTCTGCCCGTGGAAAAGATCTTTTTGTAAACGCAAATCTTAACATCACTGCTGGTCGGCGTTACGGTTTAGTAGGACCAAATGGGTAAGAAAAGATTAATTCTTAAGAAAAATTATTGCTGCATGTAGTAATTTTTCACATTACAATTTTAATTATGACTCAAAACACAATAAATGGATGGATCAATGGATGACTTTATTTAAATGTGTTAGTTCCTCTCAGTAATGTTTCCTCGCTTTACAATAAGCAGTGACAAATGGACTTTCAAAAAGCACAAGTCTGACAAAATCTTAGCCAAATTTCTACTGGTTACACTGTCTCATGTTTTTAATTTTCTAATTCCATCTGTGAGTCTTGATTTCTTTTGCAAGGCTGAGAAAGTCCCTGGCTCACAGACATGATTTTATTGCTTGTTTGCAAAGTCTCAGATTTACCAGAGGTTGAAGACTCTCACAATACTACAATGTACATAATGTTAACAAATACAAGGTTTCTACTTTCAATTTGTCATACTGTGATTATACCAGGTTTTAAAAATTTAGATTGTGGATAAGTTAAAATAAATGTGATTTGTTGAACTACATTTTTCTTTAGCATGGGCAAAACAACTCTTCTAACACATATTGCTGCCAGAAAACTTGCAATTCCACCAAATATCGATGTCCTTCTTTGTGAACAAGGTATTGATTTAATAAGAATAATCAGCCACTTTGAATTTACCTGAAAATTGTGTACTATGCCCTTTGTTTCAGCCTATGCTTACTGTGCATGTAATTCTTGTCGTAATTCATGAGATTCTTTTCCTTTTGTTTCAGTTAAATGATAAGGGAAAAACAGAGTCCATATTTTTCTTAGTTTGGTCTTCATTTTTGAGAAAACAAATCAAAGGCCTCCTATGAACTGGGCCACTTGTGAATGTGACTTGATTGAATGTCAACAGCAGAGTCTTACATACATGTTGTACTTCGATGAACAATGAAACAATGAACAAGTTTCCTGAGAGGTCTGCAACCCTCCTCAACATTGTTGGGTTTCAAATTTTGTCGTTAAACTATGGTTTGTATACATGAACTTCAATGTCATTGGCCCATTTATGTGAAAGGTGACAATCCTTTGTTCCCAAATAATGTTCTGATTGGTTAACTTTGTTGTAAGTGCCTGGTTCAAATAGTTGCACTTTAAGATATAATTACCAAAAGTTATCAATACAGTGTATTTTGTCAGTGCTGGAGATTTCACTGTACATTTATGAGCAAGAGAAAGCAGTATTTATCAGTGTGTGGGTGATGTTAATTTGGCTAGCCTGATGATCATGACTAACTTTGTATTTTTCAGATGTGGAGGCCAGTGAAGCACCTGCTTTTGATGTGGTGTTAAAAGCGGACAAGAAAAGACTTCAATTACTGGAAGAGGCTAGCATCAACAAATGGATTTAATGAACTTAATTGTCAGTCTTTTATTAATAGTGACCTATGTTCCATTCATTTATTGCAGGAGGCACACCTTGTTGCATTAAGTGAAAACGGAGATGAGACAGCAACGGAGAAACTAAAAGAGGTGCGAGTGGATTATTCAATTTTAACATCCTTTGTCTAGAGGAATGTTCTATTTCTTTCTGTACAGTCAAGTTTCTTACATGTATATGTATATGTGCTACATATTTTAGGTGTATGTCGAATTAGAGGCTATTGGTGCAGCTTCTGCAGAAGCGCGAGTCCGCAGGATCTTGGCAGTAAGTCACATGATTTAGATAATTTTGTTTAACAAAATAACATGTTTTATAATATGGCTTGTGTTTGTAGCCAATACAATGCAGGTTCTGATTGGCTAATGCTAGGGCATTAGGGCCTGTTTACAAGGAGAGAGGGTTACCCTAGAAGGCAGGTTACCCTAGCAAGCGGGTTACCCTAGCACTCACACATGCCCTCTTTTTTTCTTCATCATGTTTACAAGGCAGCTAGGGTTACCCGGGTAGGCGGGTTACCCTATCTGCGTGCTAGCGTTACTCTGGCAGGCGGGTTAACTTTTTCCCTTGTAAACACTCCAGGTAGGGTTAACCTGCCTACCCGGGCTAACTTTCTAATTGTTTCCAGACCCTTTCAGTGTAACCGCGCATTAAATTGTCCTGGGTTGTAGGGTTACCCTACCTGTAAAATGTTGCTTGTAAACCTGGGCTATCTTTTGTCCTCCAGCTAGGGTTAACCCGCTTGCTAGGGTAACCCTCCCTCCTTGTAAACAGGCCCTTAGTCTTCGGTAATTGCCCACAGGCCAATTGCGGTCCTGTAAAAACAAAGCAAAAAGCAATATAATATACAACCAGAAGCATATCACCTAATTATGCTTCTGATACAACTTATTTACCTTGAATGTTCAGTCTTTAAGGGAAAATCTCAAACCTTGACTTTGCCATATTGACCTCACTGATATTGCCTGGTCAATAAAGCAAGGTCTCGGTTTGAGATTTTTCTGCAAAGGCTACACTCTTGGTTAATAACTAGTTAGTAATGGAGTAAACCCTGCCTATCACATCTTATTTCACCCTTGTGCAATAACGCATAGCTTTCCCTACAGGTTCATACAAACAAAAATGGAAAAACAGATAAGAAATTACTAGATATGGAGAATACTGCCCAATTCACTGTTGTAAAGCTTTTGGATTGGTCTGTGTCATGTACGTATAAATATACTGATAAAGATATAATTGAAGGTTTTTTGATCCAGGGTCTGGGATTTACAACAGAAATGCAACAGAGACCTGTTAGTCATTTTTCTGGAGGATGGAGGATGAGAGTTTCACTTGCAAGGTATTAAGAGTTTCGTCCCTTATCTGAGAACACAACACCATATAAGCAGGGCAAAAAATGAACAACCCGTATATAAGAACCTAGTGGTTTAAGAACCTGCTGGCAGAAATTTGCCATTTTAATACCTAAGTTTAGCCAAGCAAGATCAAGCAGGTTCTTACATGCAGGTTACAAGTAAATTAAGTTAAAACATGTTAACCATAAAGAGCATGACTTTGAGATTTATTTGAAATTTATGTTACAAAAAAAATACATACCGGTAATACAGCTGTAAATAAATACTGTGTATTCAAGGTCCAAACCCAATTTTTTTTTTTTTTCTGGTAGTCATCAACTATACATACCTACATACCTACTCTTACTATTGCAACTTGCTACAAGGGTTTTCAGTTACATAACTACTTTTAACTCACTCATAACTAATGTACTTACAGTACAGATTAAACTACTTATAACTACACGAATGAACACGTAAATATTGGTAAAGATACATCAAAAAAATAAATAATTAAGAGAAAAACTCTTCTTCATAGAAATTAAGAACCTATTTAAGGACCTACTTAGCCTGAATTGCCAACAACTACCCTAAAATACAAGAATCTTTTTTGCCAGACTTCCAGAAATGTAGCTTCTTACACGTGGGTTTTTAATGTACTAACAATTTTGTCCCTTGCCTGAGAACACAACACTTTATGGAAGAAGGGCAAAAAATGAACTTTGGTGGCCATTTGGACCACTTTCCTTTAAGTCTTAAGGTCCCGGGACAAAATATCATGGCCCTTAGTTTTCTCTAGTCTAAAATAAGATTTTCATGAATTTTTAACAAAAGATGTATAACACAAAAAGTCAAATTGTACAGTAGCCCCAGAAAAAGCAATTGTGACTTGCCTTCAAGAAAGTATGTAAATCCAAAAACAATTTTCCACTTCAGAACTAAAATTTACTCATTCACAAGTCTATGAAATTAAGAGTTGAGGAAATGAAAGGAAAAGTACATGTATTCCACTTAAACTACTTGCTATTTTTTTTCTGTTGTATTTTTTTTTCTATTCTATGGAACTTTGCAAATTGCAACTCTTTTGAAATTTTTAGGGGCCCTGGTCCATTTTAAATCACCACTTGTGGCTCAAGGCAATTGTCAGTTTTAGCCTTGTTATTTAAGGATAATAACATTACATGTTTGAACTCTTGATAATGTAAGATAAAAGAACAACACACCTCCACTTAGAGTTTGATAATGATGTAAGGGTTTGAATAAATCCAGCACATTGATGCAAAATGTGAAAACATTATTAAATAGATAATGAGGGTGTGATTATGACCTATATATATGTATCAATTACATGGCAAATTCATTTGCTGTGCACAAAGAAAACATGTTTTGAGAATATATGACAAAGATTTTACTGTACCCCCAGTTTTATGCTTCCTTTAATATATCCTTTTAATTTGATTGACTATTTTCAGAGCTCTGTTTATGGAACCAACTTTGCTTATGTTGGATGAACCTACAAACCATTTGGATTTGAATGCTGTCATTTGGCTTGATAAGTATGTTTTTCAACTTTGGTGATGGTAGTGGACCGTTAAGTCTGTTATATCTGTCTACAGACACATAATTAGAACTGTTGTTATAATGTTTAAGATGATGGCAATACATGTTTGTGCTGACTGGTTTACATAACTTTTACCCATGGAAGTTTGGGAGAACTTGAAAAAGTTGTGGAAACATTTGCTTGCCACTTGTTTTCTCATAGCATTTCTCCTACTCTCAAACTTCTGCTTGTGTTTCTATAACTTAATAGAAACACAGAAAATGTTTTCTCTTTCTTTTGAAAAACACTGCAAGAAAAAAAAGTGAGGAAAATTTTTTTTTTAATTATTGTAATAGAATTTCTCTTTGCTTTTTTTAATTATTATAATAGACTTTCTCTTTGCTGGCACTGTCATCTGTCAAGTGACAACAGTTTCTGGTCTGTGTTTCTATTGAGTTTTGGAAAACAGCACTAAGAAAATATGCTCACTGAGTGGTTAGAAATTGTGTTTCTATAACTTGCTAGAAACATAGAAGTAGCACGAGCTGTTGATGTAATGATGGCATGAACAAAGAGAATTTACATTCTACTAAATTCTACTAAAACTCGATAAGAACATGGAACATGTTTTCCATTCCTCAAATAGAGATACAGCTTTTAGTGTGCACCCTCTTACCGTTTTTTTTTTTTAAAATTGGTTTTGCTTAACAAGAAAAATAATGTAACAAGCGAGAGTCAGACTGTAGGCACATGTGTTTATTCCAGTTTGTTAAATCCATTTTTCTAGTACATTTTTTGTTTAATGGTAGTTGTCTGGATTTTCTTCTGAATGTACATGTATATGTTATTTCAGCTACCTTCAAAACTGGAAGAAGACGCTGTTAGTTGTATCTCATGATCAGTACTTTTTGGACAGTGTTTGTACGGACATCATTCATTTAGGTATGCTAATACCTACAGATTGGTATGGGAATGGTAAATCCATTCAGTTGTGTTACTTCTCCTCTATTATTATTGTCATTGGGGGTAATTATACTGTAAGAAAGTTGTATTCAATTAAAAACGTGTTTTCAACTGTTTTTTCAGATCAACAAAAGCTTTTCTACTACAGAGGAAATTACGGTTAGTGATTGAACAATTCCACTCAAAATGGTCATTTTTAATGTGACTGAAGACACAATTTCCACATGTGTATGTTGGTTTGTTTTTTTAGAGCAGTTCAAGAAAATGTACGCACAGAAAGTCAAGGAGCAGGAGAAGGCTTATAATAAACAGGTACATGAATTAACTTGACCAGTGCTTGTAATGCTCTGATATATGTTATTTGACATCTTTGCTCTTTCATTTACCACAGCAAAAGCAACTCAAGGATCTCAAGGCTTCTGGTTCATCCAAGAAACAAGCGGTGAGATGTTTATTAACTGTACCTTGATTGGTTTCAAACATTATATACGATGCTTTAAACAAGACAATGTCAATTGAATAGCTTTATCATCTAATAGTAATAGATGTCCAACAGTAGCAATTAAATGTAGACATAATGATAGATGTGAATGTAGTCATAACACTACTGGAAAAAAGACCTGAAAAAATTACAACCTGAAAATGTTTTCAAGTCTTTTTTTCCAGTTCAAAGCCTGAAAATGTTTTCAGGTCTTTTTTTCCAGTGGTGTTATGGCTGCATTCGCATCTATCATCATGTCTTTATCATCTAAGTTCAGAGTTCTTAATTCATTTGACAAGAGTAAATGGACTGCTTCAGTGGCTTACAGAACATCATCTAACTGTGGCTAAACACGCACGTGTTTAACACTGGTTCGATTTGATCTGTAACTAACAAAAGGAAATGTTAATTTTCAAAGGAGGAGAAGACAAAGGCAGCTCAAGGGAGAAAAAACAAAAAAGGAAGCAAGAAAGGAGACATGGAAGAGGTAAGAGCAGTGAACAAACCAGGACTGCCCCTAAAATATCAAATCATCATTAGGTCCAGAATGAAATACTTGCACAGTGTAGTGACCTTATGATTAAGAGTGCAGTGTTTTTCTCAAATGTTTGTTGATGATCTTCGGTCCGTCACATTGGTGTCTAAATGACAATGTAGTGATGCCTGTAATTGCTGGTCTCTGTCCTCCCATCCAGCTGTCCCAGGGGTCCCAGGGAGACGGGAGGCTGGGACCTTTATAATGGAGTTCATCAATTCACTTACAGTTTTTGTTTTTGCTTTGTTGTTGTTTTTTGTTTTGTTTGTGTGTGTGTGTGTGTTTTTTTTTAATTTAAACAATATTTTAAACTCAGTATTTGCTCTGAGAGCACAAACGGACCATTGCGAGAGCTTACGATTTGTTTGACTGTTTTCAGGACGATCTTCAACCAGTGGAACTTATCAGGAAACCCAAAGAGTACGTGGTAAAATTTTCCTTTCCACTGCCGCCGCCGCTTAATCCACCTATCCTTGGATTAAAATGTAAGTCACTTTGTTTTAGCTTTTGATTGATGTTACGTTTAGGAAAGTAAAAGGCGAATTAAAAAACCAAAAACTACCCTCAAGGTGTAAGCAAATGAAGAGACAAGTGGTAGTTGCATGAAGCAGGGACACAACATCTTCACACAGCAGAGTGATGCACTCCACATGTGCTGGTACTTTGCACATGTGTTGTTGCGCCTTGCGTCTGCCCCATGTACATTTCCTTGAGGCCCCGTCCACACTACGCCGGAGGAATTTGAAAACGGAGTTTTCACTCTGAAAACGCATCAAACGTTTTCCGTTCAATACTGCGCCGGAGGAATATAAAAACGCAGCAATCACCGGTCGTTTTTGATTTGTGTTTGAGGAAAACTCGGGCAGGGAAATCACATGATTATCGTGACGTCATCGTTTTCGAAAAGCGCCGTTTTTAAAATGTTTTCCGTCCACACGGAAACGAAAACCCGGCGGTTTCAAATTCCTCCGGTTTGAAGAGCGTTTTTGGAAAATATTTTTTTTTAAATCCGTTTTTGTGACGGATTAGTGTGGGCGGTAGGCCTAACTGTAGAAACAAAGCTGCGATTTCAAATTCCTCCGGCGTAGAGTGGACGCTGCCTATGTTGTGATATTGTCCTGGCGAAATGTCGCTGTAACAGGTCCCTAGGGCATGCTATTAAAAAAAAAAAACAATCAATCGATCGATCGATCAATCAAACAACCAATTGAAGTACTTTAAAACACCACAATAAAAGTATTTGTCGTCTACCGGAAATAAATGTTAAAATGTTAAATATGTTGTTCGTGGTGGTTGTGTTTTTCTCCACAGCTGTGACGTTTGGCTATTCCAACCAACCAAAGCTCTTTAATGACCTGGATTTTGGAATTGACATGAAGTCTCGAAGTTAGTCAACAACTCCTTAAAACCTTTATTTATCTACTTTCATCTTGTGTATCCACAAAGACTCTTGTACGAAAGGAAACTAAAGATTCAGAATATGATGGGAGATTTCACTGTAGCCTGAGGCGAACTCCTGTGTCAGCCACAAATCAAATGTAGCTGCTATCATAATATCTTGACAGTTTTTACGACTTACTTCTCGATGCTGTTGTGATGCTGTAAACATCTCTGTGAAGCTCATACTTTAACCACTTGCTCTTGAAATATAGTTAGTTTTGTTAGTAATGATTGTTATTTTTTCTCGCCTTGTTATCATTTGTTTCTACTTTATAATCTGTGTTTCTCTTGTAGTTGCTGTCGTTGGAAATAATGGAGTTGGCAAAAGTACATTCTTAAAGCTTTTGATTGGCGAACTTGAACCGGTGAGGAGCGGGATAATTTTATTATATTTACCTAAATTTATCTTTCGTAGTAAAGAATGTGCTAACTCAACTTCTGGTTTTCTTTGTTTCAGGTAAAAGGCGACGTTGTACGGAATCACAGACTGGTGAGTGCAAGACACTGATCTGTTTGGTATTATGACGCTTCCTAGCACGAACTCCTTTTTTCCTTTTTGCTATAATGGTATGGATTGCTGAATATCAGACTTGTCAACCCCCAAAACATGCAAGGCTGGAGATTTTGAAAAAAATTCAGAAATACTTGGAGGTTGGACCTCAAAGGTGGAGATTTTCAGTGTATATATACATAAAATGAAAATCAATTTGAAGACGCTAAGGCTCAGAATGTTTGAGTCTTACGATTAATTAAAACAGATAGCGAGAGAAGTTTTTCCTGTTTAACCCCCCTTCCCTCAACGGATAACTTTCATAACCAAGTAATGAATTTGTTTTTCTTTTCACAGCGTATTGGTTCGTACAACCAGCATTCTGCTGACCAGGTAGTATTTGTCGTGTTGCATGGTCTATTGCAGTATTGCTGTCTTAACTGGTCATTAATCGAGTTGTCCTTGGTTTTATACACAGCTTAACATGGAGGATTCACCCGTGGAGTATCTTCAGGTAAATAAGCCCGGCCAGGCACTACTGAAAATATCAAACCAATGTGAAGAACAACAGAGTGTAAAGCCATCACTAATTAGCTGTTTACATTGCGCTCTGATTTTCATAGAGTTTTATCTGTTATGTCACTGCACCTTCCGTTGTGCCATGCAGTGATTATGCCCTGACAAAGGGAATGGTTACAACATTGTACATTAATAAAGGGAGTTTGAACGTATCTAAAGGTTAGTATTGACACTTGTGATCAGCTGACGACGAGTTCGAAGGTTAAGAGAATAAACAACCTCTACCATGGAAAAGTTGATCTTTTATCCTATTCTCGGCCTACCAGAAGTGCAACGTATGAATGAGGACCAGTTATGAGAACTTAGGCTTGGGTTGTTATTATTGTTGTTGTTACTGTTCTCAGAAAAAATATAATCTGGATTACCAGTCGGCACGAAAGCATCTGGGAAGGTTTGGATTAATCAGCCATGCTCACACCATCAAGACAAAAGATTTATCAGGTCAGTATTCGTCCAAGCTGTTTGCTTGAACAAGATTTTAAGATAACGCCCGAGGTGAAACATTCCTCGGCCGAATATTCAGGCAAGTTCTTTGTGTGCAAGAGCTTTGATAAACTGCTCTCACACTTGTGGACAACTGTCTTGATGGGACAACTCCTCTTAACACACATTGTGGTCTTGTCTCGGCCTCACCTACAAGACCCAGACATATTGCGTCAGGTAACGTTGATTTGTCCCCTGACTGGTGTGACTGAAGCGATTATGGAGTGTAGGCTAATACGCTTGTTTCATTCTTAGGTGGTCAGAAGTCACGTGTGGCGTTCGCTGATTTATCACTTAGTAACCCGGATGTCATTGTATTGGTAGGTATAAGTTCTGGTTGGTTCATTGAAATACTGCTCATGCGCAAAAGTCGAATTGCGCCTACACTCACGTCATTCCGCGGTTTCTCCTCACCCGAAAACCCACCTTTGAGCCTCAGCAGAAGAAAGAGCTAATGTCATGAAGAGGGAGTTGCGGATGAGAGAGAGCTGATGTCACGTGTTTCTTGTCTCTGTTACAGGACGAACCCACAAACAACTTGGACATCGAATCCATTGACGCCCTCGCGGACGCCATTAATGAATTTACTGGAGGTTAGAAGGTGTAAAACTGTCAGTCACTTGCAACAATTCCTCTCAGTACTACACTTAAATGATTCTGAACTTGAAGTGAATGATGCTAGATTAGCCGCCGTAACGCATTTGGACGGAAGTGACATTGGAGCATCTGTCCTTCGTCGGACGAGTTAACGCTAGGAACGTGTAGTCTTCCGACAAACGCTGGAAACGTCAATATATAAGACAAGATCAGAACCTTTATTCAAATGTCAATACATTTCAGTGCGTTACCAGCACTAACTGGTTACACTGAAGTAAAAGTAAAATTAAATTATCATAATTCAAACACACGAAAACTTAAAATCTTTGCCCATCTGTTTGTTCGGTAGTCCCGAATTCAACTCCTTCACGTCTTGTAAACAGCCAACCGGTCAGCCTCCAAATCAGTTAGGACATTTTTTTAAACAAGTTTTCAGTTCTATTTAGAATATTTGTTTCTTCATTTATATAGTGTTTCCAATTATTTTGACTACTACCCTCGCATCAGACAACGCAACGAACTATTTGATTACTACTACCCTGCTGGCAAGCTGTTCAGGTAACCTGGGTTCAAGCCTTATTTTCTTGTTGTCTTATGTCAGGTGTGATCTTGGTGAGTCACGATGCACGTCTTATACTTGAGACTTCCTGTCAACTTTGGGTTGTGGAAGATCAAGAAATAACTGAGGTGGATGGTGACTTCGATGATTACAGACAAGAAATATTAGAGAAACTAGGAGAGGAAGTGATCGCCAAGTCCCATTAAACGGATTAAAGTAAGGAGTTAATTTATGTTACTATATCAATCTTCATATTTTTTTGTACTTACACTGGTTTTCTTTCTGTTAGCCCAGAAGTATCATGACTCTTTTGTAGTGTTTGGTATCCCACTCCTCGCTCTAATGTTTGTCCAGTCTCAAACACACAGCTGTAACTTAAAGAGCTACTAATGCGGCCCCTCTGAGTGTTTTATTAAGAAGAGGGAATCAGTTTCTTTGTTGCCCAGGTTTTGATGTGCGAAATTCGTCTCGAAATAGTTAACTTCTGACAGTAAACTTCTCTTACAGCTGCAGAGCAAACCTTTGGCTGATACAAGCGGATTGCAGTTACCTGCTTGGATTGAGATGAACGGACATACTAATTACAGACTACCCTGGTGGATTCTCTCGCTTGAGTACTTTCATCACCACTGAACTTGAAGACTCTAGAATGAGTGAACTGCTGTCTTGCCTTCTTAATCAAGATCAGCGTTGCATGCAGCCCTGCACAGCACCGCTGAGCCGCGTCAGAGATATTTTTAATGTAGACATTGCTGTGAATTGTTACTTTGATTCAGTGCAGTCGTGATGTGCTGATGTTATTTACCTCAGGGTCGGAATAAGAACGATTGTATAGCATTTCAGCTCAAGGATAAAAGGAAGATACAGTACTCGAGATTGAACTAATAAAGTAGCAGTAACAATGTTTGGTGTTTATCATATTGATTCCGATTCACGGCTTGGATGTTTGTAGAACCCTGTCTGCCTTCTGACCCCGCACACAGACTGAAGGAACCGAGTCTGTCAAACTAATCATGGTAACAACTGTTTTACAGATGGTGTTTTGGGCAGGGACTGGGCAGCGCTTTTGAGACCAAAATTCATTCTGGTTCTCACAGGCCGTCTCACAGCTTGTTTGCTTCTCATAGTCGGGGCCTTGGCGCGAGAAACGAAGGGCCCCTCGTTTTTCGTGCCAAGGCCCCGCTTGCTAAGAGAAGCGAATAGGGCTATGGGGACGAGAATGACGAAAAGTCTGAAAGTCTGTTTTAAGGTGGCAGTGGGTTGATAACACCGGTCACTAAATCTTAGCTCTCTTGCAACTTAAGATCTGTTTTCCAGGCCTAATGCTATGAAAACAGTGATCATTAATTCATGTGTTTCTGAAATACAGGAAAAAATGAACAGTCCTTAAACCACAAAAAATACGTAGTGTATTTTCTGATTCGGTGTTGTTGTTGCGCAAGAGTACCTGAAGCCTCTCTGTAGCGCGGCAGGTCATTCTGTCTTGGAGAAGACTGAGGCCAGCTCGTCTCGATTCCACATCAGTTAGCTACATCATGATCGAAGGGAGGGATACGATAGCCGTGAGTCCCTCTTTAGGTTGGCATTTGCCGCACGAGTAGTTCACAAATAACAGGGTGAATCGGTGTAAAACATTAGCATACGGATGGATTCTCTATAAACACATCTGTCGCAATAGACTTGTAAAATGAACAGAGTACTTTTGTAGCTGCCTTTTAGGCTTTATAGACAGCTTACTTATAACGACAAAACAGCAAAGAAATTGCCATGGTCCGCACTATTAACGTGAAAGGAAATGCAGCGCGTAGTTTAAAAAACTTTGGAAAAGATGTTAGTGGAGTTTATCGTTCCATTTTCGATTGTATTATAAAATTTATTTTAAAATATTTTCAACAGGGTTTTGTTTTTGCAACACTTCTATCTAAGTGGACAAAAGATCACTGGATTGTCCTTTTTGTGACAAGAAAATGTCAAACTAACTTCATGGAAATGTACTGCGTTTTTCAGTTGGAAAATTGTTTTCACTCTAGTAAAAACGTTTTAAAAAAGAAACAAGATTGTACAAACCTCGTCATAAATGAATTTTGGTTTGCTTGATATGGGCTATTTACTGGTTTTTCTTACAGAAAAGGTGTACAGGTCGTGTATTTATGTATGGGTGTTATCGCAATTTACGCGCATTCAGTTTTAGAGGGACTCTTTAACAGGTGTTGTGTGTCCCTTGTCACAGCTAAGCAGGTACTATGGGCCGTGACAAAACATGAAGTTAGATCATCTCAACTGTGTACAAACTTCCTGCATAGCGGCACTCTCCTTAGTTTGGAGTTCTTTCTAGCGCGTGAAAATGTCTCAGGAATCACTACAGCACGGAGGATGTCAAGTTGGCGGTCTACCCCGCATTCAGTGCATGAGTTGTAAGTTGGAATTCATTTACTTTAACCTTTAGATCATCGTCTTCCTCTCGTCGCTATTTTTGATTTTTTTCCCTGGCAAGGGAGTTATATTTTCAGTATATATCGCTTGGTCAAAAAGTTTCGTTCAATCGAAATGTTTCGTTTTACAATCTTTGTCATGCTCGTTTGAATTAAATTTGTGTAAGAACTTTATAATTAAAACAGTTAAGCGTTTCATGTTTTGAAATGATCGAAACGGTTGAGCACTTCCGAACACCCGTCAAGAGTCATTTTACTCTATCATCTTGTTCCTGTTGTCTATTTATTGATGTTTCCGTGTGGAACATACGTGATTTTCAATGTAAATATGAAGTTGAGAAGGTTTGACGTGCGAAACTCCCTTTGAACCCAAACGTTATCAGTGATGGCAAATCCCTCGTGTAATATCCCGTGTGGTTAGAAGTAATGGCTGCAGCGTCACCATTGTCAGAATTGAAACTTCATGCCGTGACTGTAAAGCTAACGATTTGAACTTAGAACCGAAGCAACGATAACACAGTCTTCTGAAAGCCTGTAAATATGCTGTGTAGGCAAAAAGGGTAGCGTTGTGTTTGTTTAGTTGTGCAGGTAAAGTTGATTAGGGAGGGTCGGCTGCAATTTGTTTGGTTGTTCTAATATCGCTTTATAATAATGTAAACAGTCAGAAGTACTAGTAGGTTTTTCTTTAGTAATGTTAATTGAACAAGTAAGTGAAATTGCGCAAAATTGATGGAAATGTATCATGCACTTTTCATTAATCCTATACAGCGCCAAAAAAAAAAAAAAAAAAAAAAAACCTGCTGGATAAGCGAAATCATTTTTTTATCATAAGGATTTTTCAGCGGTGGTTAAATCGGGCGTTAATATCATTATTATCTGCTCGACAATATAGTGTGTATATTGCAAATGATGCATTAAACTCTCTACCAGTTGGTTTCGACAAGTTTTGAAGATAAGAAATATACTTACCAGTCATGGAGAATATTTCTTTTGCCTTATTTAGAGTTATCAAGAGAACATTACTGATTTTCTGCTTCCTGAAAAAAATACCACGGAACCATAGTAGAGGTATCAAATTTTGCAGTTTCGCGTAACTTTTTACTCACTGCGGCAAAAATTCGGTAGCTGAATAAAATTGTCAAATTGCTTCTTTGTTGAACATTGAATAAGAGAATTAGTGTCTCAGTGAAAAAAAGTTTCAGTGGAATCAACCCACAACATAGCTGAAGTGTATGAATTTCAAGTTGAAAGGCGTAGACCTATTGTTTTGGGTGGAGTTCCACCTGTCACTGAACCTGTCATTCAGCTGTCACTTGTTTACTTTTCAGCCAGTCAACCAGACGGAGGGGAACTGGGAATATGTGGAATCGTTATTACCGTTCTGAGTTATATACTTGTCATTGTAACATTCCCGTTTTCTTTATTTTTTTGCTTGAAGGTAAGTAAATAGATTAGATGATCATTTACCCCTTTTCATGGTATATTATGAAGATTTTAAAAGCGGTTTGAGATTATCGCGGTAAGTAGCATCAAATAATAGTATTAAAAGAGGTAAACAGCAGTAAACTTCGCGCTTTGACGAAAAAAGGTTTACGGACTGAATTGCTGAATGCCGCTGTCGCTAGCTGTGTACGCGGGTTCATCCGTTTACTCAACAGTCTTGAACTTTTTAAAAGTCCCGTATTAGACGGTGAATGTCCTGTCTTCTCGGGAATTTAGTTAAATATTTAGCAGTTTTTCTAAATGTTCCTCTAAAGCGTCGGAGAAATGAGAGAACTGGGTCATTTTGTTGACCACGGCTCACGCTAATGTACACTAATTAACAGTTAGATTAGCGCGCAAATGTTCAGTCAATCAAATTGCAGCATAGTGGTAGAATTCTGCTGATATTTACCTGACAGTGCGCGATAACTCAGCCAAGCAGATTTCAACATTGCATACGTATACTAACTCAAAACAGGAGATAGATTTCATTGGTTTATACTGTTTCACGGGTTAAATCAAATCACTCTGTTAAACAGATTGTGCAAGAGTATGAGAGAGCTGTGATTTTCAGACTTGGGAGGATACTCCCCGGCGGGGCCCGGGGACCAGGTAAGAGGCGGCTGTCTGCTTACAAGTGACCGTTATGTCTTATGTTGGATAGTTGATCTTGATCTTTGAACTAGATTAGCTAGGAATTTTACTGATTCGCTATAACAAATTTAGGGATGATTTGCATTTCGCTTACTTGTTGTTACGGTTTATGTTTTTTTTTTCCTTTTTAACAAATGTTCACGCCTGACTGGGGAAATTCACAGCAAGGAATCCATTAGTATAAGTTAAGAGAAAATATCTGAAACCTTAAGGACTCCACTTTGATTTGATAAATTAATTAAATGAACGTCTTTCTTTGAGAAAGTCGTTCATCTGTCAAAGCCTTAAACAATTCGGAAAATATTTTGGGTCGTTCTAACAGTAGTGGAAGCTACGGTCCGACGCTCTAGCTTTACAGAACATGTCTCTTTGGCTAAAACAATCTCCAAACAATGCCTTACAAAAGTCCGTTTGCTTTCTAAACAAGATTTCTCGTCTAGTACATCAAGTTAGATGGTTCGTTAGATTAGAAAACTACATATGTGTAATTAAAACTGAAACAATGTGTAAATTTTGCAGGTTTATTTTTCGTTCTTCCTAAAATCGATCAGTACAGCAAAGTGGATTTAAGAACTGTGTCGTTTGATGTTCCTCCTCAAGAGGTAAATTAACATTGTCATCTTTATTGAGAATTGGCATAATTATAAGGTAATGCGTGCCATGTAAAAGTCTTTTTGGATTAAAATCTCCCATCATAGACAAGAATCTACTAAACGGTATATTTGCTACTAATGACTGAATAATCTCTGGTCGTTTTTCATGAGATCGTCACTAGGAGTGGCGGATTAAATCAAATTATCTTAATTTAATAAGGTGCGATATAGTTGACCTTTTACTGTTGAACTGACATTACATCCTAAACACTCATTTTACACAGTACAGTACTGATATTCTGCAATTGTATTGGCTAGGCTCTCACACGTGACAGCGTTACAGTTACTGTTGACGCAGTAGTGTATTTCAGGATCCAGAATGCAACAGTGTCTGTAACAAACGTCTCAGACGCCCAAGGATCCACCAAACTACTGGCCCAGACTACCTTGCGAAACATGATTGGTACAAAAAATCTGAGTGAGATCTTGATGGACAGGGAAGGACTTAGTGCACAAATGCAGGTAAGTCACTGTGAATGCTGCCCTCACAATCTGCACTCAGATGTTGCAGGTAACGCACTGAGAATACTGTACATACACAATCTGCACTCAGATGATGCAGATAACTTACTGACAATCCTGTACTCACAATCTGCACTCAGATGATGCATACACACACACAATCTGCACTTAGATGCTGCCAGTAACTTACTGAGAAT